TCAGAACATGATGTTCAGTGCTACTCAACATGAACGGGGTGTATCCTTTTAAAACATGTTGCAACTCTTCTAAGAGGTAAATCGGAAGTTGCTACTCAATCCATTATTGCATAGAATATGCATCTCTCCATTATTGCATAGAACATGCTTTTGCTACTACTGGATGGAACATGCACTTTTCCCTTGTTGCATAGAACATGCACTTTCCCCTTGTTGCATAGAACATGCTTCCAATTTATCTTGCATAGAACATGCTGTCAATACATTTGCATATAACATGCTTTTGTTTATTGTGCATAGAACATGCATTCTTACTATGTTATGCATGTTGAGCCTCTCTCTTATGCAAGCACGATACTGTATGTACGGTTCATTCAAAGGAGTTCTAAGTGAAATCATTCCTATCCTTCGAACCACTCCTTTTGGTTTAGAACACGCAGGTGTGTCCCGGTGTTCACACCACCTCTTCTCCTCTCTCGTGCAGCGCATTAGGACGCTTTGGTTTCGAACATGCGAGTGCATCCCGGTGTTCACCCTCTTTCTCCTCTCGCGTGCGGCGCGTTAGGATGCTTTGGTTTCGAACATGCGGGTGCGTCCCGATGTTCACCCTCTTCTCCTCTCGCGTGCAGCGCATTAGGATGCTTCGGTTTAAAACACACGGGTGCGTCCTAATGTTCACCCTCTTTCTCTTCTCGCATACAACGCGTTAGGACGCTTTCGGTTAGAGACATTTGGGTGCGTCCCAGTGTTCCTAATCCCTCACTCTCTTCTCGCATGCAGCGCGTTAGGACGCTTCGGTTTAGAACACGCTGGTGCGTCCCGGTGTTCACCCTTTTTCTCCTCTCGCGTGCGGCGTGTTAGGATGCTTTGGTTTTGCATACGCGGGTGCATCCCGGTGTTCACCCTCTCTCTCCTCTCGCGTGTGGTGTGTTAGGATGCTTCGGTTTAGAACACGCGGGTGCGTCCCTATGTTCACATCACCTTCTTCTCCTTTCGCGTGCGGTGCATTAGGACGCTCCGATTCAAAACATTCGGGTCTGTCCCTGTGTTCACATTATCTTTCTCCTCGCATGTGCAACACGTTGGAATCTTGTTTGATACCTCGGGTGCGCTCGATAGTTGTGTTTTTCTTTGCCTTTCCTACGTGATTCGTGGTTAAGCTTGCATAATTTTCTTATATCCTTTCTGCATGAAATGTAGTTTGGTTCATGTTTACTTACTTCTGTTCATGTTTGAGTTTGTTGTACCTTGTTTCGGTTTAAATATAGCATTTCTTTGCATAACATTTACATCTACATGTTTCATTACAGCCTCATTGCATGATCATAAGTTATGTTCTTGTATCGTGCATATCATTTGCATCTTGCCCCAGAACTATGCTAGTTTGATTCCTTGCAAAGGGATATGTAGGTGGCCTGCGGGCTTAACCATTTGTTTTGTCTTGTTTGTTTACTTGTCCAAGTCTTCGGCCTAGTCAAAAATAGGTCATCTCTAGGCTTTAAGATTTACTCCCGTCATTTCATGACTTCCAAGTTCTGTCAAAAAGGGGCAACTGTAGACACCCCATTTTTTACCATTCTCAAGGCTTGGACGTCATTGTTTGTGCACTCGATGATTGTGTTTGTTTGTGTTCGTTTTGAGCGCCCGAAGTCCTCGGTGGAACGCCTTGTCTTTAAGCCTCTAAACCGTATCTGTTTTGTGTATGTTTTTGGACCAAGAGCTTGTTGCCTTTGGTCTGGAAGAGTGGGTGACCTGTCGGCCAACACCAGAGGCTGTCGGCCATGGCTTGTGCTTGTCGGCTACCAGTGGTGGCTGACGACCATTAGTCTCTTTTTCCAGATATTTGTTGCTAGCTGTGCTAACTGTTGCTCACTGAGCTGCATCTCCATACACATGTATGGTGAGATGTTTCTAAGCTCACGACTTGTTTTTCTATATATACGAGGGTTCCTCCCCCGTTTTAGGAGGTTAACATTTTTAGAACAAAAATATATCTCTCTCTGTAGAATTCTTTCTCTCTCTTGTTATTTTGCACACATTTGCCTAGTTTCTCTTAGCTTTTGTATACCAACCTTTAACCAAATACTCTCACCTTTGAGCTGAGATAACTTGGGACCTTCTTTGAGCTCTAGAAGGTGGTTTGAGCTTGGATTATTAGCTATTTTGTGATTTGCTTCAAAGGTATAGCACTTGCCTTGTTTCTACTTGCTTTATATACTTGTTTTGCCATCCTTTTAAATTATTTAAGGCTGGTTTTGAAGTGTTAAAACCTCTGTTTTTATGACCTAAAAATTGTGGTATAAGGCTGTTTTGAGTTAAGGGGTTGTTCACCCTTTTTGCTTCTTAGCTTGTTAAGCTTTTGTGCTATTATTCACCATTTTCAAAACAACTTTTTGGACCTTTTAACCACTAAATCTCAGAGGTTTTTCAGTAGTAAAAATCAACTTTTGAAGTCCAAAATTTGAGGGGTTAGCCTCCCCTCCTTTTGTCTTGTTTGCATGCCTAGTTAGCTTCATGAGTTAGCATGTTTTTCTAACTTAACTTAACTTAACTCTAGTCCAGCATGTTTTTGCCTCTGTTTTGACCTGTTTTGGCTCTATTTTGGGTTGGTTATTTCATTTGAGCCTTGTATTACATAGTTGTAGTGTTAATTCCTTCACTAGCTTGGTGTTTTAAGGCATTTACTATCATTGTTTTGAGTTAATAGCATGTTTTAGTGTTGTTTTGCACTTCATTTCAGCACTTAAAATCTCTACAATCTCCCTCCATTTTTCACTCCTTTGTTTGCTTTGAAAGTGGTTTCAAACCACTTGTTTGCCTAAGTGTGAAATGGAGGTGTTGCACCTAATGGTTTAATCCCTTAGGGGGTTCATTACTAACAGTGTAATGCCTCTTTCATACCGAAAGCAACTTGTTGTTTGAGTCATCTTTCCATTAGAGGACACTCACTAATGGACAAATCAATTAAAGAATGGTTTTGGTAATTAAAATGAGTAAACAAAATTGGACAAGTAAAAGAGGCAAGATAAGCATCTTTCGTGTTGCATTGCATGTGTTCGAATCGGACGTTAATTCAAACATAAGGAAAATGGGACATTCCATAATCAAAAGTGATGAAATGTGCTACTTTCCTTAGTCACTACCACCCTTGATCATGCATGATAAGGTGGTGGTCTTTTTTAGTCTTGTTTTGCACTCATTAACTTGTACAAACTTGGTTCCTTAGCCATCATGCATGGAAATTACTTGATTGATGGTTTGAGGGCCAAGAGTTACACTCATGTGAACTTGTTTGATGACAAGGGGGGTAACAATACAAACAACCCTTGAGAATATACTGCTTTGCCTCTGTTTGTTCTTTGTTGCAGCAAGAGGAAATTCAGGTCAGCAGTGACCGACCAGCCATCAGCAGTGGCCGACAGCCACCAGCAGTAGCCAATCGACCATCAATGGTAGTCGGACCGACAGCCACCAGCAGTAGCCAATCGACCATCAATGGTAGTCGGAGGCCACCATTGGTAGCTGACCGGCCATCAATGAAATTTGCACAGTATGTTGGTAAGGTGGAGCAAAGGTATTCTGGAAGTTAGCAGCACTGTTGGTGTTCAAATGTGCAAACAGAGGCATTCAGTTGCAAGGTGGTGGCTTTTCGGGTGGAGAAGCTAAGCATGCATGCATCCCTCACTTCCTGAGACCTTCTAGTTGCTTTGTAATTAGTTAGTTAAGTGTTTAGCTAATTAATTTGATTTGTAATATTTAATTAGCTTAGAATAGTTAATTAATTCGTTTTGTAATAATTAGTTAACTTAATTAGCATAGCTAGTTAGCTTATTCATTCGAACCCTCCTTCGCGAGGGTGTAATGTTGTAAATAAGTGTGTGTGCATGTGTGTGTATGTCTTCCAACCCCATATCTTTCACCCTTTTATTTACCTACTTTCGATGGTTAGTTTAGGGACATGTTTTAAATTAGCATACCTGATGCTTGCATCCATTCATTCGTATTGCATGCACCGAGACTCGGCGCATCATTCAAACTACATTGTTAATTCAATATTTCCTTGAATACGTGTTTAATCGCATGTTGTTCAAATCGATTCATATGCCATATTAGTAGCCAAGCCTATTAATTGTATTATCGCATGTGTTGTATTAGGCATCTTGTATAGTTAGGGTCACGCATTTTTTCTAACTAGTTTCTGTTTTGGCTTGGAGTACTCAGTGAGTTTTATGCTTTAGCATACTTGCATGAGTGTGATTGCCATGTTGCCATGTTTTGCATGCTTGCCATGAGGCTATGTGCTTACTTGATAAACTGCATGAATGCCTGTAGATGAAGGCTTGTTGTTTGAATTGGAACAATTCAATAAATGTGTGTTTTAAGCCCACTTTGTTGAGTGGAAAATCATGTGTTTAAGCCCACTATGTTTGGTGGCAAATCCGCATTTTTAAGCCCACTTAAGGTGGCAAATTCAAACCATTTTCGAAAACAAGCACGAATTGAACTATTTCAAGTCTTGCGACTAGTCTACACTTGCTTGTGCGTGTCACATAGTAAAGCTAATTTAATAACCGAAATAAGAGCACATAATGTTTACAAAATATCATATCATAATTAGTAGAAGCCGATCTTTGATTGGGGCGAGCGGGGGTGCTCATTTCAAGACCTTTCCCTTTCGTACCCAAGTTCCCGAGCTGAGGCTACTTTGGTGATGACGGACAGGTGGCCTTTGGCATGAGTCACAATTTCCTAAATTTTTCAAAAATAAAATATTTAGATGGCGACTCTATATCTGGCAAAGCAATCCAATTTTGGCATTATTTGATTTAAAATCGATTTTCCAAAAAAGTTTGTCGGATTTGGACTCTTAGTGTTTATCAATTTCACATTGCATTTTGTGAGATTAAATTCAGAACCGCGGGAGTTCGAACTGTGAGGCCATGTTTTCAAACCCTTTCTGAAAGGCGGGGCACGGAAAAAGGCGATTCCACAGAATGATGCCTTTGTTAGCGCATATGCACATTCTAAAAATTTGGACACAATCGTCTCGCTAACCAAATTTGTGTTTCCACATGATAACTTATCCCTCAAATTTCTCTTTAGATGTTCAAGACAAAATCCATGATAGCAATTAGAGAAAAATCTAGCAATTCCTTCCACAATACCACAATGTCGATCTGATATGAAACTTATCACCCTCTCTGATCCCAATACTTCACATAAATGTTCAAGGAATCAACACCAATTGTCTTTATTCTCAACATCAACAACGGCAAAAGCTATAGGAAAAAAACCTACAAAACAAATAAGAACAAGCATATTAGACATACACATGCAAATAAAATTAGAACAATAAACAACCAGAGAAATTTGACACTGCCAACATCCAAAGAAACTTCACACAATGGCCAAATCCAGAGAAAATTCATACAATGGCAACCTCTAGAGAAAATTTACTTAGTGACAAACTCCAGAGAAAATTCACACATTGGCAACATCCAGAGAAAATTCACTTAATGACCAACTACCGAGAAAATTCACATAATGACAATATCCAGAGAGAAAATTCATACAATGACAATATCCAGAGAAAATTCACTTAGTGACCAACTCCAGAGAAAATTCACTTAATAACCAACTATCGAGAACATTCACTTAGTGACCAACTACCGAGAAAATTCACACAACGACAATATCTAGAGAAAATTCACTCAGTGACCAACTATAGATAAAATTCACACAATGACAACATCCAGAGAAAATTTACACACTAACCAAAATCCAGAGAAAATTCACAGAATGACCAAAACCAGAGAAAATTCAAAGTGTTGGAGAAAAATCACAAAACATAACCACAAAAATAGAAAATTCACTCAATTCCCACATGTATAAAAAATTCACATACTTAGATAAAATTAGATATATTTACAATTACCTTTATTCCCATCTTTTCCCGTCGCAGCAAGCATAACTTCTTTGTATCATCCTTTCAAAAATGTTCCATCAAGAAACAGCAATGACCGATAATATTTGAAACCAGCAATGCATGCATGAAAAGTCACAAACACTCTTTTGAAATGCTTGTTATCTTCAAAATCTAACTCAAAACGACTACTTGGATTGTTCTTCAATACCTTATCAAAATACCACCGTAATTGATTGAACGACAAACAAGAATCCCCACACTACTAAAAATCAGGGCTTTTGCGACGGTCTTAAACGTCGCAAAAGGTTCACATATCGTCGCAAAAAACTTTTTACGACGGAGTTGCGTCGGAAAATGGGGGGTGACGGAAAGGGGCGTGACAAAAAGTATTTGCAACGGTAACAAACTGTCGCTTTCTTGTAGCGACGACTAATCAATGGTTTTTGCGACGGTTTAACCTGACACAAAAAAGGAGAAAAAACTTTACTTTTAGTGACGATATTGATTGTCGTCGCTAAAACTTTTTTAGCGACGGCATTTGACGTCGCGAAAAGTATTATTAGTGACGGTCTAAAACGTCGCAAAAAAAGTAGAATTAAAATAATATCGTATTTGCGACAGTTCAAACCGTCGCCAAAAGTATTATTAGTGACGGTCTAAAATGTCGCAAAAAAGTTGAATTAAATTAATACCATATTTGCGACAGTTTACACCGTTGCAATAAAATTATTTTTATAAAATCAATATATATTTTATTAATTCATTCCCTCTATAAATTATTAATATTTTCTAAAATAAAATGCATTCACATCCACATCCACATCCACATCCACATCCACATTCACATTCACATTCACATTCACACATTCACATTCACATTCACATTCACATTCACATTCACATTCACATCCACAAAATCATACGTATATATGTACCCCATAACAATTGTCAACTAAATATTCTTTACAAAAATATATAAAACATCCTCCAACGATACTAATAATTTTTTATATTCAAGAACTTAAATTTTTGTATCTAAAGCAAAACAAAAGTATCGACAATACAAATAAAAAATATATATATTATAACTTGTTTTAATGTCAATAGTAAACTCTAATATCGATATGTGAAGATATCATCACATACTCAAAAGGGGTCACATCTGCAAAAAGAAACCCAAAAAAAAATCATTATTTACAATATAATTAATTTCATACCTACAGAAAATGTAAAATATTTGATATTTCAATAAATAAATAAATAAGATTGTAAGCTACAATATCAATATGCAAAGATATCATCACATTCAAAAAAGAGTTTATAAAAGACAAGTTTTCATAAACGGAAATTAGGCTCCAAATTCAAAACCGAGAAACAGTTTCGAGTCCTGTCTTTTTCTACGAGTCATTTGGGCCTAGTTAGTCATGTGTGTCAAGTTTCATTGACATCCAACGCGTTTGAGCATTTTAGTGAGTCAACCGGTTCGGAAAAAAAGTTTGTAAATAACAAGTTTTTATAAACAGAAATTAGGCTCTAGTTTCAAAATCGGGAATCGGTTTAGAGTTTCGTCTTCTCTTACAAGTCATTTGTGCCTAGTTAGTCGCATGTGTCAAGTTTTGTTGACACCCAACGCCGATTGAGCATTTTGGTGAGTCAACCGATTCAAAAAAGAGTTTTTAAAGAACAAGTTTTTAAAAAACAAGTTTTCATAAATGGAAATTAGGCTCTAGATTCAAAACCGAAAATCAATTGCGAGTTCTGTCTTTTTCTACTCATCATTTGTGCCTAGTTAGTCGCGTGTGCCAAGTTTCATTGGCATCCGACATCGTTTGAGCATTTTGGTGAGTCTACCGGTTCAAAAAGAGTTTTTAAAGAATAAGTTTTCATAAACCGAAATTAGGCTCTAGATTCAAAATCGGGAATCGGTTTCAAGTTCTGTCTTCTTTTATAAGTCATTTGTGCCTAGTTAGTCGTGTGTGTCAAGTTTCGTTGACATCCGACGCCATTTGACCATATTAGTGAGTCAACCGGTTCGGAAAAAAGTTTTCTAAAGAACAATTTTCATAAACGGAAATTAGCCTCTACATTCAAAACTGGGAATCGGTTTTGATTTCCGTCTTCTCCTACAAGTTATTTGTGCCTAGTTCGTCGACATCCAACACCGTTTGACCATTTTAGTGAATCAACCGATTCAAAAAAAAAGTTTCTAAACGACAAGTTTTCACAATTGACAAGTTTTCAAAGTGTTTGAAAGTTGTACCGCATCATCTGGTGGTGGTGTATGGGGGTTCTCATCGGCCTCATAATCCGTAGGTTCACGGTGGCCACTCAATGCATCCAGTACCTATGATATTTATGGTATTCTTTGTTAATCGTATTTATATATAATAATAGAATTGTTCTTAAGTTAGATATTTATAAAACATAATTTATACCAAACCTGTTTGTTGTGATTTGTACTCCCTTCCTGAGACACAATAACCAACATTTCAACTTTCACTTGTTGTATTTGTGTCGAAAGCTCTGCCCACATCTCCTCCCTCAATTCGTCTCTAATCTCATCCCTTAGCTCTTGTCTCAACTTTGTACGAACTTTTGAAGAATCCCAATTAGCTTGCTTTATGGTTGCATTTGACATTAACGAATCATAGTAATGAGGTAGTAGATTTTGGAATGCTAGCTACCACAATTTGAATACCAATGAACAAAATATTTCAATTAGCAGTAGTAATAATGAAAGACATTGCAACTTTAAGACTGGCTACAGTAACAATTCAATTATGTCAAATACACAAAGGCAGTCATTATACTATCTTGAGCAACTGAAAGAGAACAGGTTAACTGCTAAAAAATTTTGCATTAGCAAAATTAACATCATGATAAGCATCACAACACAACTGACAACACAACACCAACAGTTGAATTATGTCAAATAAATGTACTAAAACTGGTCATTTTAATATCTGAAAAAACTGGAGGACAAGTTCAAACCTTCGCAATTTCTGGATGTGATTGGCATTTCTATTTTAAGAAGTATTCCACTACTTTCACATCATGGTTTGTCACTTTCTCTATATTTTTAACTTTCAAGGCATCATTTATGGTAAATCCATCAATCAATCCTTGCAAGTAAGACTATGATTCCCCACTAAAGCTTGGAACCTCAGTAACTTCAGGAATTTCTGAAAGTAGCTGGAGTAGAAACTTGCTGAAGTCAGCATATACTTTCCGCTCACAAATGATGACACCCGAAAGTTTGTATTAGGACAAAAATGGATTTCCTAGTCCCAAAAATTGTTTGCTTTATGTTTTCAGAGTCTAAATCCTTCAACAAGTTTGCCCTTATAGCCACTGAAGAACTCAATCCAAATATCTAAGTCAAATCAAAGTGCAATTAGTCAATTGACTTTACACGTAAATTTGAATCGGCATATCCAATTAGTCAAGTTACCATACTCCAATGGATAGCTCAACTAGAGAGAAATTCTAAGTCTATGCTTATAAGCTGCTGCAGAATAATTCATCATAGCAGCAGCAGCAACATCAATCAATCCTTGCAAGTAAGACTATGATTCCCCACTAAAGCTTGGAACCTCAGTAACTTCAGGAATTTCTGAAAGTAGCTGGAGTAGAAACTTGCTGAAGTCAGCATATACTTTCCGCTCACAAATGATGACACCCGAAAGTTTGTATTAGGACAAAAATGGATTTCCTAGTCCCAAAAATTGTTTGCTTTATGTTTTCAGAGTCTAAATCCTTCAACAAGTTTGCCCTTATAGCCACTGAAGAACTCAATCCAAATATCTAAGTCAAATCAAAGTGCAATTAGTCAATTGACTTTACACGTAAATTTGAATCGGCATAGCCAATTAGTCAAGTTACCATACTCCAATGGATAGCTCAACTAGAGAGAAATTCTAAGTCTATGCTTATAAGCTGCTGCAGAATAATTCATCATAGCAGCAGCAGTAACAACAGCATCCATACTTTTTGAATTGCATACAGCTCACTAGTTATTATTCATAAACTTGTAGCATTCATCTGTCTATCCACCAATCAGTCCTCCATCTTTCTCTCTACATAGACATAGAAAGAGACACACAGACACACATACACTCTGCAATGTTTTGCAGCAAGGATCACTTGACAGTGATCTGTTGCATACTAGTTCTATATCAAAATTATGCAATGTCTTGTAATTTTCTTGATGTATTATCAGCTAATTCAGCCTATATACCAATCTCAAAAAAACATTCTGAATTAATGCATAGCATGCCAAGAAAAATAAGGTCAAATTAGCAATTTCACACAAGCCTACCTTATGTAATCAAGTTTCAAGTTATTTTGAGTCTTCATTTTATGTTTCTACGAATAAGTATGTTTCTCAATAGATTTGTTGGTAATTAATTCAATAGTCCAAAATTTCCTAACACATAAATATGACTATGAAGCTCACTGCAAATATTCTCAGAGACAAACTTGCCTAAATGATTTGAGCATGGTTTAGAATATGATGTTTCTAACAACAAAATGCCGTAAAAACCATCAAAGGACAGATGAATTTTATATAAAATTTCAGTCATGGTCATCTCAAAACTCCTCAAAAAGGATTCCCATCAATTTTGGCCATCCAAATGATATCAATCCTCATTCAAGGATTCCAAAACCAAGTTATCAAGACTCATTGACTATTTATTAATACACATGGTTGAACAATGCTAGAGTTTAGCTTTGAAAAAACACAATTTACAATATTTTAGCTGAACCCAATTTTTTGCACAAGCACAAATGATTTGAATTTAAGCACAGTCCGGTTCCAAGCAATTGCGGAGATACTTTTTTCCAATAAGCTGCACAGTGATCTTAATAGTATATAACATTCAATAAATTTCAAGCTCAAGTTTATTAACTTGAGAGCCAAGCCAGATAACTTTGTCAAGACCACCACACAACACTAATTATTAACCACAATTTTCCAATTTGTACAAGCAAGCATATATGCAAAATAATTCAAGAAGAGCTAGTAGCACAGTTAACAGGTTTATTGTCATTTGAAAAAAGGGATAATTGTATTGCAAATAAGCAAATGCATTGCCAAGCGTTTGAGAATTTGGGAATTTGCCTATCTTTTTTTGCAGGAGGGTGGTTTGTGCAAGTGAAAACTGACACTTCATAACTATTTCATAGAACACGACAGAGAATATTAGCGTGGCCAGAAAGGCTAATGACCATAATGCATAAGTTGCATACCAATTTGAGAGAGAGAGACAGATGACCACAAACTCAATGCAGTCTCAACATGTGCAAGTTTAATGGTTTGTTAAAAAGTAAACAAACAATTATTTATACCAAAAATCAGCTAAAATAAGAAGAAAAAAAAATCCCCCTCCATACGTACATGTGTGAGACTGTCAATGTCTGATTTGAGCACATATTCATGAACTAGAACTAAAGAGGTAGCTTACCCACAAAAAAAAAATAAACAAACAGAAGCCGCCTCTGAGAATGTTCAACTGCATTGAAGAGTACTCTTGTAAACCTCCTGCTCCAGCTCTACTGGATAAAACTGCACAACTCCTCTCTGACTCCAGTGTAATGAATTCCATGGAGCAAAGGTTCAATTCAAACAGTGGATCACGCTATATATTCATTCCAATTACACTGAAAATTTATAAATTTTTCTATGAACTATCACATAATAATAAATATGATGCAGCTAAGTTAGGCATCTCTTCCACTGTTGTGATTTATTAGAAGTTAAAATCAGTTCAAGTTTTTACAACCTTCAAACGATTTGGTATACGTTACTGGAACCTAGAAAGCTTAGTGAAAATTTGACAAAAGGATCATCTTTTATGTCTCCATTTCAACCAAGTGGTTACCTACTACTTACTTACCACAATACTAAAATCCAACAGGTAGTTACACAAAAACTAAACTTTTTAAAATGCTTTAAACAGTTTTTCTATGGTCAGTTACTAATACAGAAAGCACTCATGGTCATGGAGACTTGCTCAAAATCACAATCAGTAGCATGTATCCAAATTATTCAAGCCCTTTAAAGGGCTATCAGCAAGCCCCAAAAACAAAGCTTCTGTTTAGAAATTATTCAAAATATGTAAGCATATGAGGCAACTCAGCAACAATGACATATAGATATCATTACTAGCAATTTTCAAATCAATTTTTGTGCCACCAAGATTAGTAATTGAGATTGTAACTTGTAACAGAGTAAGAATTTAGTATTAAGGGACTAAGGCAACACACATTGATTGAAACAGAGAACAAGAATTTCTAATGAATTTTCACTAGCTTGTGGAAATTGGCATACTTTCATCTCTAATTGAATGTTGCTAGAGTTAAAAGAAAATTGAAAAAACAGGGAGGAAGAAAAATAGCTCATCTAGTGATATATAGTCTGCAAATTTTTTATTTTATTTTTTTTTTAAAAAAAGGGTAATAAAGCAGCATCAATTTCAGGAACACCAACTTGGCCCATTTTACAAGACTACATATTCCATGACAAAAATAGACATGATTGGCAAACCATATATTCAAATAAATAAGATTTTTGAGAACAAAATTAAACAAAAAATGATATTTACAAAAATAGGTTCTTGAATAGCAAGTTTTTTCCTTCTTATTTTGAATTTTTGGTAAACAAAACACAATATCCTTTTATATTATGTACACATTTCCAATTTAATTTACAGGCACTAGAGTTTCTATACAGAATATATACATATAATTCAAAATATGGTAATCTGATTCTGATCCACAAAATAGCCAGTACGGCAACCAAGGTAACATGAAGAGGCCATAAATGTTGTGAAGAAGATACCGTGAAATGGCAACAACCAAATATAAAACTAAAATTCAGGATCACAAAGAGAAGAAAGTTTCCATTGCTCGGAATATCATATTAGTGTCAAACCAAAAATTTCTTTATCAAATCATACTTGCATGGATTAACATGTTCCAAAGTGCCCATGTACAACACACACAGAGAATCGATATTAAGGTACATAGCCAACTTCATTCATAGAAACATTAATTCAATCCATCCTTAATTTTTGATATTTTACAAAGACTATTTACTTCTAGTAATTCTTAACAAATCATGGAGATTTTCCTGCTTGCATTGATATACAAAACTACAAACATAATAAAAATATACATCAAAACATTCTCCCCAAACTATAATCTATTTACTCAGCACCTTCTAGAAACCCCATCAAAATGGCATGGGGACATGAGAGCAACCCTCATTGGGGATTGGAGTGAGGAGAGGAGCTCTAATAAAAAAATGTTTTACAAATAGTATAGTTTCTCAACAAATAACAAAGAATTATATCTGATTGAATAAACAAAATTAGAAAATTAGATTTGATTAGATCACAAAATTGGAAAGAAAAGTGATGAAGTAGACCATGTATGTAAAAAAAGAGGAGGACAGACAAAGATCTCAGTCAGAACCTTGGATTTTGCTGGATTTATATGTGAATCGATGAACAAAACGACATCAACTATGATAGATATGAATGTTTATAATTTGGGTTTGAGCCAAAAACCTGCGTATAGAACAACATCAAATGTGATAGATATGAATGTTTATAATTTGGGTTTGAGCCAAAAACCTACGTATAGATCTCTTTAACTCCGTCATCATCGTCTCTATGACTTGACTAAAGGGCTGCAGACAAAAACAAAAGAAATGTAAAAAAATCTGGAAATCGAATATATGGAATGGAAAGAAAACAGAGAGAGATACAGAGATCTTACTTTAGAGGGCTAACTCATCGAACAAACATGCACATAGATCTCCTCCTTTATTTCATCATCATCAAGTCTATCAATCAATTACGGTGATGAAGATATAAACAAACAAACAAACAAAAAAGAAAAGAAAAAAAAGATCAAAGATATGAAACTGAAACAAAAAATAGAAAAAGGGAAACTAAGTTGCTTCTAGCACAAATGTTCAAAGGTCAAAAAGATCACACAAAAAAAAAAAAAAAACAGATCAATAAAGAGAAAAACTGAGATTGCTTTATTTTTATAGATAGACTACAAAGGCCCTTTTGGTAGAACTGGGGGAAAGTGATTATAACTTATAACCTAACAGCTTATATCTTATAGCTGTGAACATAAGCTGATTTTTGACTTATAAATTAAGCTTCTCCTCCCCCACTCAAAGAGTAAGTTGATTTTTGACTTACAAAAAGTTATAAACTGTATTGTTAAGCTGAACCAAACACATCAAAATAGCTTAAATTAAGTTAAAAACTAAAATAAGCTGGAAATAAGCCCTACCAAACAGGGCCAAAAATTCAGACAAAAACATAGCAAAAATGACTAAACAGAACAACAAATAGAGAAGGGTTATTATTCTATGAGGATTTTAATCTGTAATACAAATTTCGAATACAGAGAGAAAACCCTTACCCTTCAAGCTCTAGGATTTTATAAATTTCAAATCAGAAATTTCAAATTCGTAGTACAAATATCGAATGCAAAATTCCTAAATTAAAATAGAGAAAGAGAGAGAGTCATTACCTTCAAACTCTAGGGTTTTTGAAGAAATTAAAAGAGAGAGATGAAAACAGATGAGTGCAAACTGCAAATAAAAATGTAAATTTTGGATCTGTAAGACCGTTGGGAGAGGTACCAATTGAACGTTGATGACTTATGAAGCTTTAAGAGAGATGATATCCATGTACTGACCGAGATCGATGGCGAGATCGAGAGAGGGTGGGCGGCGATGTCATCTTGGTGAAGGTGGATCAACAAACTGATGTCGGCGGGAGTGAACTCATAGATGAAAGATGGAGAGAGAGTGAGAGAGTGAACTCGAAGATGGAAGATGGAAAATAGAAAGAGAGAGAGAGAGAGAGAGAGAGAGTGTGTGTGTGTGTGTGTGTGTGAGAGAGAGAGAGAGAGGGGGTGGGAAAAATGAAAATATCAAAGGCACCAAGCGTTTGAGAATTTGGGAAATTTGGGTGTTTTGTGGCTATTAGCGACGGCACAATGATGCCCATCACAAAAAAAATTAAAAATATATATTTACGTCGGGCGAGAAGAACCGTCGCAAAAAATGAGCCTTTTGCGACGGATATAGGTTTGTTGTTGCAAAAATCATTGAACATATGCTTCCTTCTTTTTGAGACAGAAATTACCATCGCAATAAGTGACCATTGGTGACAGGATATTAACTGTTGCAAAAAGAAGCTTTTTGCGACGACAATGTATACCGTCGCAAAAAGTTCCGTGTCATATATCCCTTTTTCTAGTAGTGCCATATGTACTACATTTTGCTTTTTCAACCCCCAACCAACCACAGTTATAATTGATTAAGACCTCATACTTGTCTTTCATTTCTTTGACAACATCCACTGGATGAGTTAAAGGTTTTGCACTTACCTCTTCAAGTATCAACCCAGAAACTAAGATGGAAGTCATCCTAGCATGTTTACTAGTACGAACCTCCACACCACACATATGTTCATTGTTTAAAGTTCTTATGTAAAAGAACCCATTTGTTTTTTCAACTAAAGCATGTACATGCTACATACATCCCCTTGATTCCTTATATGCACATTCTGCCGTAACCCTCAACTTGTCATTTTTATCATACGTAAAATGAAAACCAACCTCAATAGCATACTTGCATAAAACAGTATGGAACTCAACCACACCTTCAAGATCCAAAGAAATTTAAAACTTATATACACCTTCAAGATAGCAAAAAACACTGCACTGTCCATCTAAACTGAAAGAAAAAACACAAAAAATAACTTTTGCTCAGAGAAACAAAAACTTATATTCACTTTGAACTACAAACTTATAATTTTCTCTAAACTACAAACTGAAAGTGAATAACAAACTTATAATTTTATCTAAACTACAAATAAAAGTCCAGAGAAATATAAGAACTTATATTCACTTTCAGGATCACAAAAACAAAAACACATTAACATCAAATTGACAAAAATGCTAACTATTCCACACAAACGCAGAGAAACTCATAGAGAAGATCTATTATACTCACAAAGCATTCAATTGAGAAAAAAAATAAAATAATAACAAACTTATAATAACATCTCCATAACAAATTACAATTTTCTCTATGATTTTCACTGGACTACAAACTTACAATTTTCTCTGTGATTCTATCTACATTAGAAACTTATAATAGTATGTCCATATGAACTTATAATTTTCTCTATGATTTTCGTTGGATTATAATAACAAACTTACAATTTTCTCTAGACTATACCAACAAAAGTGGAGAAAAAACAAGAACAAAACTTAAAGAATAAAAAATGATAAGAAATTTACACTTATCTCTAATATAAAGAAATTTCTCTGGTTTGAAAAAATAGAGAACAAAACTTATCATTGATAAGCATGTTGATGAAAAACAGAGCACAAAAAATGAACTCTAAAAATTAAAATCAACTCCACTGTCAACTCTCTTTGAAATTGATCAAAAAACAGAGAATGAAAAATGAATTCCAAAAATCAAAATCAACTCTATCAAGCTGGCCTCTCTTTAAAATTGATCAACAACAGAGAATGAAAAATTAACTCCAAAAATCATAAACAACTTCACTGAGCTAGCCTCTCTTTTAAATTGATCAAAACTGAAAACAAAAACCTAATGCAAAAATACACTCGAAAAACTAATATGAAATCAGAATCCTTACATAAAATTCAAAACAAAAATAAAAAATTCATGTGGAATCTCTATCGAAGCCATACCTGATTCAACTCCACTAAAAAACCTACGCGATCAACACACT